GAATTTTATAACAGCTTCAAAGATTCTTTCACCATATGGAAAGTATAAATACTTACTTCAACCATTTTAGGGACCCTGGTTTGAGTTCTCCATTGTTTTTTGAAAACTTTTCTCTCTTTCCTGGTACACCTGGCAAATTTTTGGTACTTTCAAACTTATTAAGAGGTATAGGGGCCAGGGAGATGGCTTAGTAGAGTAAGTGCTTGCCTGGCAAGCACAAGGGCTTGAGTTCAATCCCTGGTTCAGAAAAAAAAAAAAAAAAAAAAAAAAAAAAAAAAAAAGAGGTATGTTAGTCCATTTTCTGTTACTGTAATGAAATACCAAAGGCTGGGTAGCTTGTAAAGAGGGTTAAAACATTTATCTTATAAATCTAGAGGCTCAAGGGTATAGTGTTGGAACTCACTCTGCTTAGGGAAGGTCTCATGATGGATGGTCTCATGACAGGAGCATGTGTGAGCAAAAGACACCACAGCAAGACAAGAAGCTAGAGACCTACTGGGGGGAGACCTTGTGGGGCCCTCCAAGAACTACTTTCCAAGGGCAGTGACGTTGATAACGTAGCACCTTCCCACTAGGCTCCACCTCTTAAGGTCCCACCACTTCTTGACATCACCATACCAGGACCAGCTTCTAACACATGAAATTGGGGGGGGGAGAACTTTAAGCCATATCCAAATCATAGCAAGGGGTTTCCTCTGCAGGACTCATGGACTCAAGCAGGACTTCAGGTCCAGTTCATCTCCTCTTTTTGGCCTAAGGCCATGTCTACTGCCACCTATAGATGTTTAAAATCAGTGCCTACCTTATGTCCCACATCCAGGTCTATAATTCCCAGGAGCCAAGATAAGTTTAGATCCCAGTCTTCCCTTCTTTGTATGTAGAGGGAGGTGGGTAGACTTTTATTGCCAAGTGTGCAGTTTTTTTGATGGCAAGAGTCCATATCTTCCATCAGAGTCTTAAAAAGTTTAGCAATTACTGCTTAAATGCAATGCAAGACTGTTCCAATTTTTTAAAATAGATCTTAAGAGTAGTTCATGTTGTAACAGAAGACTCGCAAAATACCTTATCAGTTATCTCCTTCTGCACAGTAAGGTCCTTTCATGACTTAAAACACACTTTATAACTTTGTATTTATTTAGAAGCTCTTCAGAAACTCATTGAAAAAAAGCAAGAGTCACCAACACGAATAAGTAGGTATTTCCAGGACACAAAAGGCTCTTCATTTCCTCATACTTTGGCCCCTAAAAGGGGAGAGAATTGGGCGAGTAGTTCGGGGCTTTCCAAAGGGCAGAGAGCAGATGAACAGGCCTGCTTGGAGAAAAGAGCTTGCAGGAATGGTGTGCTGGAGCACTGTGGGAAGCGGGCGTGCAATGCGTGCCACTGATTCTGAGAGGGCGTGAAGACTCTGCTCAGGGCTTGGGACAAGATGCAGCAACCAGGGGGTTTCTGTCCTACAGATGAAAATGAGTGTGAGCAAAACAACGGTGGCTGCAGTGAGATCTGCGTGAACCTCAAAAACTCCTATCGCTGTGAGTGCGGGGTCGGCCGAGTGCTTCGCAGCGATGGCAAGACCTGTGAAGGTAG